CCAAGGGTGAAGCCGGCCACACCCCCGCCCTCCCCGATTAAGAAGGAGCTGCTCCCTTCATCTGACATCATTGAGAGAAACAACCACCACAACATGGTGTGAGGGAGCCCACATCGTCTTGTGACTGAGGAGCCAATCGCAGCACTGCTCACCTCCCATCGGACAGTAGAATGTAGCGACAAGAGACAATTGCTGCTTGTTGAATGGCATCCTCCGCCCTTTTGCAGTGCCCCAGCTGGAGGCACTTTGTGTGGACTAGGGTGTCAGATTTGAGATTTGCACTTCAGAGTCCACTCTCACTATCCAGACTTATTATTTACTATAACTACTAATCAGCATTTGAGCCCATCCTTTTGAGCACAAAAAAAAAAAAAGAATTGGAAGCTGAAAGACAAAATTAATTAAGAAGATGATAACTTGACAGACAGAGCTAAGGGTGGAAAAAAAAGACAAACCCCTTGCCTAGGGAGAGAGGGATTTCCAGTGAAGCTTCCTCCCTTAACTCTCTGTGGCCTTGGAACAGCAAAGGAAAACAACTTCCTTACCTAAGGGAAGGAAATTACTGCAATAATTAGCAGCGTAGAAATGATAACAATATAGAAAAATATAACTTATAGCACTGTTTTAACTCCATTGTCCATTATCACCACTTGCTGCCTGAGATGTCTGCCTAAAAAGATCTTGATCATGCTGACACAATGAGACAGAAATATTGGCTCCGAGAAGCAAAACAAACCCAGGTTGGTAGTTTCATACTAGACTTCATATGTGGGGGAAACATAGTTTTCATAATAGAAACTCTGTATCTACAGTCCACTGTATGGATCACACACTGATCTTAGTAGGCCTTTATAACAGGCTACAGAGGAGTCCTTTCATTTCAAATCGTAGGCCCTGGAAAGTCAGGCCCTCTGACCTCATTGACCTCTGTCTCCAGATCAGCACATCAAGCTTTTTTTAAGGGAAATCAAAAGGGCCCAAACCCCGGAAGGTGCAATTTTGAAAAGTAAAAGAAAGAAAAGGGGGTTAAATTCTATGGAAGGATGGAGGCAGACCTCACAGCATCCGCCTGCCTGTACAAAAGGCGTGGCTGTGCCACCACTTCTTGGTGATGGGGCTATTCTCTGTAGCTTCCTAAACCAGAAGGTGATAGGTGGGTGGAATGAAAGGGTGTGGTCTGTTACCATGCACAGAGGGTGATTTACAGCAAAGCTGGCACATTATTTTGGGATGATTTGGGCTCTTTCCGCTGGCAGGGAGGGGCTCTCACCCACTCAATCACTCATTGGCAGTGGATGTCTGTCTCTCAAAGTGTGTGTGCGCGAGTGTTTGCATGTGCGTGTGCATTCTTATCTTGGTATGCTCGTGCTTGTTGTCAGTGTGATTGCGTGTGTTCGTGTGAATGAGCGCTGCGCCCTGTGAAAAGGAGCCCCCTCTTGATAAACTGTGTCAAATGACAAGCGTGAATGTGTTCCACTGTATGTCTGAGAGCAGGTGAGTTATAAAAACTGTGGATCTAATATTTTTATTCTCTGCTAAGAAGCATCTTTAACCTTGTATGTTTATAGCCTGTCCTGTGTAATCACTAACAGTTGTACAGTACAGCATACAGAAGTCCTTTTTTATTTACAGCCAACTCAGATATCCTCCAACAACACACTCCGCCATGTTGCACATCTTTCTCATTGTATAGTCCGTCCTATCATTTTACTCTCTCTTTTTTTTTATAAATATATAAATAATGTATAGATCACTAAAATTAACCCTGTAAGATATTGTTTCTTAACATGTTTAGATATATCCACTATACAGACCTGTGTTCTTTACAAAATGCTGCTTAAAAGCATCGATTGACAGATTTTTGTATTTAGATAAATAAACTATTGTAGATTGTAATAGTTACATTTGTAATATGCTAAAAAATACACCCCCTACTTGTATTAAAATTCATAGTATTTTTGTATTGTCTTGTCCTCTTTTGTACAAAATAAATAGCAGTAATGGTGTTTTTTCTGCTATATGTACTTTGCTTTATTACATGTGCTTTTCAATAAAAAAAAACAGCTCATATGAACACACTTTTGGGGTTTGGTATGTTTTCCCTGACAGATGGATTTGATGTTTTTTTTTTGTAATTGGAAATTCACAAGGCTTGCCATTTAGGATCTGCCCAGACTGAGTCATCTGGCCATCCTCAAGTTCTTACACTTGCCAATTTCTCCTGCATCCATCATAGGCAACTATGTGAGTCAGCTGTTCCCTTATTTCCTGACGTATCCCAGAACTGGACATTCACTAGACTATAAACTAAAATTATGTAAAGATTTGGGTCACCATGTGCATTTTAGAGAGGCCAGCCACGAGAAAAGAAGCTGTTGAAGTGTTAATTTGTCAGTGAAAACACATTTAGAGGAAGACTCGTCTCAGGGGGTAGAACAGATTATCTACTAATCAGAAGATTGGTAGTTCGATCCCTGGCTCTCCACTCCATGTACTGAAGTGTCCTTGGACAAGATGCTGAACCCCAAATTACTTCTAAGACATTTATGGGAGTATGAGGCTTGTAGTAGTGGCCGCTTGGTGCTATATAAGTACAAGTCAGGAGCAATTCATGTAATATATAATAATAGTGATGACATTATGACACTGATAATGAGTAGTTTCACCAAGAATTAGTTTATTGATTTTGATATGAATTGCCTTAAACTGCAGTCCTGCTACATGAATTATGGCTGATCTCAATGCCAGCCCACATAAGCTGATACCCGTCTGTCCCTATAATTGGAAAATCTGATATTTAATTGCTTGAGTTGCCTCACAATGCTGCGATTGCAGCCATCCCCCAACTCTCTGTGAATTTTACTCACTGACTTCATAATGTCACTTTTATTTACTACAAATAGTATTTCACCACCAATTTAGATATTGCTCATCAATGCTGGTGCACAATAAGACAGTGACCTACCTTTAAAGTTATACTCAGTATCTTCCATTGGCCCACTTTCTTTTGTCAATAACTCTGCATGAATGCAGGCACAACATAAAAATGCACACTGAGAAAAGGCCGAAGAAGTGCTTGTGAGTTCATGACCTCAGAGGCTGGCGTCATCAAGTGCGTGTGCGTGTCTGTGTTTATTCCAAAGCAAAAAGAGAAAAGAGTAGAGCAGAACAGTGTGTGCTTTTGACACAAGAAATATGTGTTTAATGCAAAGGCTACAGATTTCTTCATGCACAACATGGCCATCAAACAAAACGAGAAAGAAAGAAAGTGCATAACTGGTGCTTAAATGAGACCAAAGTGTTGAAAAGCAATTATTCAGAGCCATCACTTGACTGATGTCATCATTATTGTGGCATGCATTTTTCCCCCTCGGTGTCTTGTAAAGTATTGTCTTACAGCTGGTCTGAGGTCAGTTGTAAAGAATATAGCACCAAATGGATACTGCTGGTGAACAGCTGGTAGACCTGGGGTCAGCCATGCATGGCTGTAATAGTAGAGCGCCTGCCGCTGAGGCGAAGAGGCCCATGTTGTGGTCGTGTTTGGCAGCAGAGCAGAACTGCAGAACTGGCAGAGGGCTGTCACAGGGAGGCCAAGGCATTACACAGAGCTGTACCTCTCACTCAGTGTGCTGGGTGTGTGTCACCTCACCATGGCAAGCTGTAGTACATCCTTCTTGCTCTGTTTACTTTTACTTATTACTCATGTTTTACTCATGTTTTACTCATGTTTTACATGAATAATAAGTAAGTGCTTTTTACTCTTGTTTTACTTGAGTAAGTAATCACTGATACGCCCACTCTCCTCTAAAACTCGAACAATTCTGTATCACTGTTGGAACGTCAAACCCTTTTGGTAATGTTGACATTGTAACTCTTGTTAAATGGATTACGTCTTCCTCTGTGGGCTGAGAAATATCTCCACCCAATGTCTTATAAAAGCTTTTCACAACCTAATTTGGATAAACTCAATAATGTGTGGTGGCTGTATTAAAAACAAGCCTTTTTCCCCCTCCACCGTTTCCAAAAGGTTTATACTTCTGTGATGCACAGATTTCAGCATCGATACAGCGAATTATGAAAAATGATGGAATATGAAACCTGTTTGAGTTATAAAGCTAATTAGACTATATTTGGATACACTTGGATGTGGAGGATAAGAGTAATTTGCTTGCTGGCACTTGCCAGGAGCAAGTTAGCTTTGTTCTGCACTGCTGGACCTTGTTAGAAATTCCAGCGTAATTGAAGTGGAGAACCTTTCCTTTATAACAGATTGGTAACATATGTAAGCACAGGCAGTGTACTGAATGACCAAAAGAAGACATCACGCACTGAAAGCAGTTTACTGGTAGGTAGTATATAAGGCAGCAATGTGAGAGAAATCATTTTCAATTTATAATTGTGAACCAGAATGTGTAAAAGTGGTTAAAGTGGCTTTCTGCTTGTTATCCAAAGCAGGGCGTACTAACAGACTTCTTTTCTTGCAATCAAGTGGTCATAGTCAAAATGCCCTGAGCAATATGGCCACTGACACACATGATATAAAAAGCATCACATCACAACAAGAGCGCTACTGTAGGTGGCTTTGGTTTGGTTTGAATGTTTCAAGAGAGTGTGTGAGGGCGATGGAGCAGAGCTGCGGTGAGGGTGGTACCTCCAGGAGCGCCTTGAGCAAGCTTGGAGCTCAGAGGGCCTTTTCTCTGCAGGGAACTGAGTCGGGGGGAAACACACGAGCTGACCGGCCAAAGAAGAGCGACCTGGGCAACACTTCCCTGAGGTAAATGTGAAAAAGGACTCCCCGCAGCCAAATGTTTACACCGAGGCAGTGTCTGTTTTGCAGGTTTTAAGCACACGTGAGGTGTGTAGACATAATATAACACACCCACAGGGCAAACTCGTGTATAAGAAGGAATAAAAAAGAGAAAGGGCTAAGAGTTTTTACTGCACTGAGTTGAAAATGATTATTAGAATACTTTCCTGCCTCCAAAAATGCTGAAACATAAGAAAATGAATGACAGTACATTAGCAACAACATCCTTTTTCACCTGTCAGTCCTGCACTTCAGTGCCAGAGGCAGCTTCTCATAACAAATATCTCCTAACCCCCCCAAAACACTAATAATGGGCAAAATAGAGCAGCCTCTAAATAAATGACAAGAAGAAGCATTAACCCAGTTTTTCATAAATCTACAATATTACATGCATATCACTGATTAAAATAAGTCCACAGTGGAGTGAAGGATGAAGCTGTCATTCAATAGGCACATGTGGAGCCAGCATGAGGATTAATATCTAGGATTAATACCCTGTTTTTATGATGATGATCCTCGACTAGAACACTGTGTCTTTGTCTCAGCTGGGGAGATAATTTGACACTTTTTTGATTTGAATGAAACCTCAATCCAGTGAGTGTTAAATGGAGCTCGATGTGATTCTGGCATTAATTGACACA